CTACAACAGCTTCAGTTAGGTCCAAAGTGATTATTTAGCTTGGAGTTCGTCGTATGTTGATCTATATACTACATGTAAATAATAATGATAACCATTTAAATAATATTTTAATATTGCACATTCCCTCTTTTTTATCATTATCGTTTAAATACTGGTGTATGTATGTTTTGATATTAGAAATAATGCAAAAGAAAAACTTCGTAACGTGTAAAAATTTTGCGACCTATATTTTACAGTATATATCATAATCATAAGTAGTACTTACAATTGAGCTGTACTTTGGGAAAAGTAGCAGGCACTTTGGTGTAACTGTGGATATTCGCAGGAATCACTGAAAGTATCTCCAATCCTTTCGAAATTTATCAGTGCGAGATCTTGATCGCCATCCATTCCGATGAGCTCGAACCGTGAATTGAGTTGAACGTCTTGGACTACGCCGTGAAGGATGTTTGGACTTTTCGAATGTTTGCGCTTTTTCCTCGGACGCCGTGGACTTTCCGATGCTCTTCGTCTTGCTTTACCTATGGAAGTATACATATAACATAATAGTTTTTTTCTTATTTTCCCGCTACTACCTACACTATTGCACTGCTAACATTATGACATTATTCAAACTGAAAAATGTACTGCTCAGTTATGGAAGTGAGTGTAACATGAGAAATAAAAAAAAAATACAATAAAACTTCAGTGATAGAAACGGATCAGTCTTCGATGGTCAAATAATCGAAGATGTTTTTGAGATAAAAATGAATGTTTAAAGGAAAATTTAAATATACTCAGGTCCGTTGCTGTTATGCCAATATATTTCTTAACGTAGCAATTTTAAACAAAGTGTTATTTTTTTATCGCATACGCTTAAAAACTGTATTGAAAGCAACAAATTTTTCACAATGACAGAACTTTTATTCGAAAATTGTAACTTTTTTTCTTATTTATTTTTCATCTTTGGCGTAACCTTCCCTTCGAAACACTTTACACAGGTGGTCCACGCAACTTATTCTACCCTGAATAACTTCCAAAGTATACATTGTATGAAAAAACTTTTTATAGAAAAGTTGTATAGTTTGGACGGGTACGTCATGTAATGCACATATATTTTTTGTATACGGAGGCATTTCGGACATATGAAGGTCAACTTCGTTTTTTTAAATGGAATGCTACATTTTTTATGCCAAAACATCGAAGAGCATTAAATGTTGAGTAAAGAAAGTACTGATCTTTATTAGCCGCAAACCCAATAATTAACAAATAATTTCACTTTGTTTCTTGAAAATGGTCTGTGCGTAATATCAAGTTGGAGATTCAATACCAGCAAAAATTTCCGTAAGACTTCTTCCATTCACTAACGTAGGTGTTCGAAATCGTCTATTCACATTAATACACTGATGTCATCTATTAATCAACGAGGAAACTGCACTCTGAATTGTTTCTGCAGAAATTGTTCTTTAATATTCTGTGTTGTTGTTGTTGGTTCACGATACACCATATCTTTATAATGTACCCCATAGAAAGTAGTCTAGCGACGTTAGATCTGGTGAACGTGGTGGTCACAGAAATTCTTCACTACGACCGATCCATCGATTGGAGAATTGTCTGTCCAGCACTTGCCTTACTACGTGTGCATAATGTACGGGGCAACCATCATGTGGGTACCAAATGTCTGTGCAAATATTTAATGGTACATTTTCTAATAAAGTTGGTAAAATATCACGTAAAAAATTTGAATACTTTTGACCCGTTAATCATTCATTAAAATATGATCCAATTAATTGATTGCCGAGTATGCCGCACCACACATTAACGCCCCATTGATGTTGATGGTCAACTTCTATCATTCAGTGAGGATTTTCTGATGCCCAGTAGTGCATGTTTCTTAAATTAATTTGCCCGCAATTAGAAAATGTCGCTTTGTCGGTAAATAACACTTTTTGTAAACAAAAATAATCATGGTGCATTTGATGCAAGAATCACGGCAAAATCGAACGCGATTTTCATAATCCAATCCGTGTAACTCATGCTGAAATACTAAGTTATATTGATGATATTTTTCATTATGAAGAATTCGAAACACACTTGTTTTGCTCATACCAGGACATCGTGAAATCTGTCGTGTACTGATATGAGGATTTTCGGTTGCCGCTGCTAGGTCCGCAATAGTATGTTATTCAGAAGTAGCAGTTTTGGTCACATTACGTTTGGTAACGTTAAAACTTCCGCTTTTTCGAAGCGATGTACAAAGTGTCTCGAATATCAATCGACATGGTTGGTTTCGTTCAGCATAAATTTCAGCACACACAACTATAGCTCTTGTTGCATTTTTACGCCACTCACCATAAACTAAAAACATATCCGCTTTTTCTCAATTACTAAATTTCATTTTTGCTTATATCTTACTGAGATAGTCACGTATAAACACTGACGATAACTTCAATACCAAATCACGAACAAAATAGGCGATTACGATTCCATACGCAAAATCGGTCATGTTGATAAACATTGTCACGTAAACTCCGCGGTTTTACGGAAATCTTTTCTGGTATTGAATTCCAAATTGATATTACACACAAACCATTTTCAAAAAACAAAGTGAAATTATTCGTTAAGTATTAGGATTACGGCTAATAAAGATCGGTCCTTTTTTACTGAAAATTTAACGCTCTTCGATATTTTGGCATATAAAATATTGCATTCCATTTAAAAAAACGAAATTGACATTCAAATCTCCGAAACGCCACCATTTATAAAAAAAACTATGTGCATTACATAATGTATCCCTCCAAACCATACAACCTTTCTATAAAAAGTTTTTTCACACAATGCATATTTTCAAAGTTATTCAGGGTGAACAAGTTGCGTGGACCACCCTGTGTGTTATTCAACCCTTCAGCGGTTTATTTTTCACTACGCGTGGTTTAATTCAGAAAAAATAGGGATGTTTCATCCAATTCTATCGACGATGCGCGCCGAGCGTTCTCGTGCGTGCGATGGCCGTGTTTTCCCGTCTTCGAGAACATTTACGTGCTGCGAATGTCCGCTAGGTCGTTAAGATCGACCCTTTTTGAGGGTCTCAAGTGAAAATTCTGTTGCACGAGTGTGGATGGGATTTTGACCGCGCACCGCGTTGCGCGTGTTCCTGCCCGCTGTTGCACATGACGGACCTACGTTAAGAGGGCATTGCAACGTCTGAACCCCCACTTATGCACTGTTTTCGTTGACGTCGTTGACGCCACGTGTTTGCGTTATACCGTTCATTGGTAGAAGCCCAGCAGACATAGCGAGCTACGAGCAATCCCATGCGTCCGAATCGGTTGGCAGTGGTGAGGCTGCGCAGATTGGTCGAAAATTCGTTCAAGCGTGAGGTTATTCTTACGTGAGACGGAGTTTAGTTCACTATTTAAAACGACTTAAATTCAGTTTCACTATTATATGTGCGAGTCAACAAAAGATATTTATATACTTTTTCATATAATTTAGCCTATGCATTTGTACATATATTGCACGTGAAAATAAAACGTTGACAATTACCTGTCAACGATGAGGAACTCGAGATTAGCTCAACAAAGAGAGAGAAATCATGCGATGGTAAATATGAAAGGAAAATGGAGATTATATTGTGTATCTCCTGTCATGAATACATTCTTATCGAAACTAATATTTATCGGAATCTTACATGAAATCATGGGCGTAGCCAGGTTACAGTCAGAGGATAGGGGGAGAGCCACAGTGAAAAAGGCTGTACATAGCCAGACACACTGCGGCTCCGTGGGCCTTAAGGCTCACGGCGTGAGCCGGCCGTCGTGCGCTCACACAATAACGGGAACCGTGTATGTATACGCGATGCACGAGAGAGGCATTCGATTTCGTAGAATCCAACTTCTGCCTCGATAATTGCACAAATGAAGTTTTGACGGGTATAGTACTCACGGGTAGACTTCACTACAGGATGGTATGATCCTTACAAACATCAATAAATACCATACGTTGGAAGAATTAGAATTTTAGAAATTGTGCGATTGTGACAGACGCCAATGAAGCAAACAAGATGGCTGCTCAAGTCACATTTTGTCAAATATCACACGAACTAGTTGTTTTCTTGTCAAGAGCTGACCAGACCACCCTGTACACCACTGTCACACTATCGTAGAAATGCGATTTTCGTTAATTTATTACTCGTGGAAGGCGTAAGTTGAATTCTACAATGTGACGCGTCCAGACTCAGGAATATACAGTGGTATAGTTCAAGGATTCTGCGCTAGGGGCGCTTATGGTATTTGTCAGTCACTTTGGCCATGTTACCACAGAGCATCGATAAAACAGAGCGAATCGGTAAATGTAACCTCGCAACACGTGCTGGATCGTATCGATTGTTTTGTTATGCTGTTGCCAAATGTTCCCACATGTTGCCACATGAATACCTACGGCCTAGGCCAACGGCTCGTGGCGAGATTTCGATTCTCGCCGAACATAGGAAAAGAATGACGCGACCGAAATAGATTCGAGAATAGAACAATACATACTTACGTATTAATGTGTGCAACCATAAACCTTTTCTATTCGTACTTGCAATGATGCTTATTTGTTTAATCAATGGAATTACATACGAAATACTAGAAATGGTATTCCCGAGAAACAAATTGTAATAATGACACAACATATATTCCGGGTATTCTATGTACAAAGAACATGGAATACTATGCAAATCTGCTGTTTGAAATGATATTTATTTATCGTATTATCGGCGTACACATATATTTCGTAAAAAGGACGCAAAAAGAACATTGAATGGACAAATTTATTCAACGAATAAAGATACTTTTTTTATTTGAAGATCGTTTTGCTATTTACCTATTTTTTGTGCAAAATAATTCGGAAGGTCATTAGAAATAAAATGTATATGTTGAAAACTCGTGAAATGTTGTGGGGAACATTGTTAGAAAAATTTGAAAGTGTGTGAAAAACATGCTACTCGCGCGCAGAAGAAAATATGAGTTCAGAAAAAAGAGGATCCAATAAAACATATGTAGATATTTTTAATACCTACAAAAATGAGATATAGTACGTTAAAATCGCTGTACATGTTCAGTTGCAAAAGAATTAAAACTGTCAAAATGAGATCTTAGGAGTTCTTAGGGGAATATAACATCCATCACGATAAAAAAGTATTCCAAATTTCAGCACTAAATATTTCTTAGTTTTTACAAAAAGCCATTAATTTATTCCAAACGCGTCTCCGGAAAAGTTAAATTCTCCATCTCGGACAGCAAGCAGCGCGAATATTTTTTACTCTTTGAGAGTTCAAATTCAAATAGACTTCAAATGAAATGAATTTTTTTAATTAAATCACCGAAAAATAGTTCCAAAAAATAGGTACCTTTTTTTCTTGTAAACAATTTAAATAACATCGTCATTTTTTATTCTATTGTAGGATTTTCATATGTAATACTGTAAGCTGTAAGGTGTGAATAGTGTGTAACAGTGTATGTGTGTGTGTGTGTACCTTCCCGAGATTTCAATAAAACAAAACACATACCTTCTCTATCTTTGTCGCACTTATGTCTATGAAAATTCTAGAACATATTGATTTAAAACAGCTGTAACGTTAATCGATAATATTGATTTTTTTAAATTTAAAACATCTAGAATTTTCATAACGAACGTGATGGAATGAAGAGTGAATATGTGTGTGTACGTGCGCGAATCCACGGTGTAGTAAATTAGCCACGCACCCTTGAGGAGTTTTCCGTTGACAACGACGAAAGGACCTCCCGGTCGAAAAGGGTCATTCTTCGGTTCGAGACGATTTAGAAAGTATGTTTGAGATATATCACCATATTTCCTCTGTAATTCTATTCTTCTTTCATACAGTCTCTTATAATCAAAGACATCGAATAAACCTTCGAACAACTTTTGCCAGTACGAATAAACGCGCTGCCGAGCGTTGATCGCCGAAGGTCCAAAACCAGCGACTGTCCATCGGCATACAATGTAAACAGACGTAGATGAGATAAGAAATGACGCACGAATGAAAATTTAAACTTTTACAATTTGCAATATATATTAATGAAAATGTCATGAATGAATTGAAGAGATTTTCCCGATTAAAATGCGTCCAAATTCGAATATAATTGAACAATGTTACTCATACGTATGTTGCGGATAAAAATAATATATTATTTGGACTTATTTCCACCGGCAGAATCTCCTCAGTTCATTCGTGACACTTTAATGAATGTATACTGAAAAGTATAAAAGATTAAATTTTCATTCATGTGTTTCATTTCTTATCTGTTTACATTGTATTTCGATCGTCAGTCGTTGGTCTTTCACGTTCAGCCCTCGGCCTCTCGCTCGGCGCTCAGCAGCGCGTTTATTCCTGCTGGCCAAAGCTATTCGAAGGAACAGTCAAGCGTCAATGTCAACACGAACGCTTCCCGTTCTTTAGCCGACGGTGGGCTGAAGCAGACAAAAAAGTTTAAGAGCCCGCATATCGATGTGATTCATATTGCACTATCTAAAATTCTATGCTGCTTATTTATTCACGATATATTACAGTCTAGGTGCGGGCGCAGCGAAGATGATACGCTAAGTGCGCATGCGGCAGCAATTAGTTGTTAGTTTAAAATCTATCCCCGCTGGGCGACGAATGAAAAAATTAAGAGAGCGTATGCGATTAATTGTGTTCTTTTTACGTCCTTTTTATGAAATATATGTGTAAGTACATATATAACACCTGCATCAATTATGCCAATAAATGATAAATAACTATTGTTTCTCGGGAATGCCGTTTCAAGTATTTCGTATGTAATTTCGTTAATGAAAACAAATAAACATCATTGCAAGTACGAATAGAAAAGGTTTATCGTTGCACACATTAGTACGTAAATATTTTCATTCTCAAATCTCTTTAAGTCGCACCATTCTTTTCCTACGTTCGGCGAGAATCGAAATCTCGCCACGAGCCGTAGGTATTCCATCGTTCTCCTGATGGGTAGAATTTTAATGCGGGATATGAGGCAACAGCGTAGGAAAAATTGATACGGTTCAACAACAGTGGCTTCGCGTAGCAGATACACGAACCCAACTTGATGGTAACAGGGAAGAAAATTTATTTGTAAGTGCCGTTAGATGTCGTATTATTAAGCTGTCGTAATTATCGATTATGTGTTTTCGTTAGTGTCGGATTGTTTACATCAGCGCTTCGATCGATTCGGAGTTGGCCCCAAAGAAGTCTCTCGCTTAACAACGAATCAGAAATAAAAAAGTTTCATCGTTGCATTAACGTTGTCTCGCGCGCCGGGCAACAATGTATGCACTCGATGGACATGACGGATGGAGCGGGAGAATGTACGACGATTAGTCAAAGCACTCAATCGTCAGCGATGGCCCAGAGAGCTGCCGACAAATAAAATGTAGCTGGATCACCTCCAGTCAAACGTATTTTTATTATTGGCCGAAACAGTACACACACAAATTGTGTCCAAATGACCAAATTAAAAGTCCCTTACCGTTGAAATAGCTTTTAGAAATTCATTACCGTTAGCCGTCGAAATTTCTGTCAATAAAGAAAATTAGGGTAAGTGCCCATGTATGAAGTAGAAATTTTCCAAACGAAATGTACTTACCACGATGTGAATTATGTTGATAGTGCTCATCTTCGATGAATTCGTCGCAAGGCGCGGAATCATGCCTCTTACGATGATGGTGATGATGATGGTGATGGTAGTGATGACTTTTTCTTCGATGCTGGTGGTGATGATGATGATGATGATGGTGATGATTCAGCGAAGAGGAAGCGGTTGAGGTGGAAGTTAATCTAAGCCGACGAGGACTAGCTGGTGCACTACCAGAACGTTTATTTAAAGTTGAGGAGGCTTTAATCGCCTCCACCTTTGTTTCCACCAAAGCAGCGAGGACAGCTTCGAGACGTGCCACCTCCATTCCACTGCCATCGTCCGTCGAAACTGCCTTGTCAGCGACATCGGAAGTAGACGGAGTCACCGTCATCTCTTCACTTTTGATTATCACATTACGTTCACCACCCTCGATGACGACCACTCTGTTGTAAGAAGCGTCGCGGGACTTCTCGTGAGAACGCGATCCAAATGGTCACAAAAGCGTCGCGATAGAGTTCAACCTCCTCGTTTTCTGATCTCTTCCTTCCACGGTATTATCTACTGAGAGCTGGCGGATGAACCGGGACAATATGTAGATTATTGCAGTTACCTTGCAACTTCAGTTTCAACTTTCTTTTCTATATGCAGCTCAGAAATGTTGTTCCAATGTCTTATTTTTATCAAGACATTATTTTAATCAATTTTAATGTTGTCCAGGCAGATTCTTTTGTTTATTTTAAAAAGGTATTCTGGGTATTCAGTGGTTTACCAGTAGAGCAAAATGTAAACCTTACACATTGAACGTTTTTTGCTCTCATAATAATCAGTCGGTAGTATTCAAGAAAGATGTTTCAAGACAATTACAGACGAAATAACTTTTTCTCATATACTTTCCTTTCCTTGTTTTCTTCGGTATTTTTCACTTAAGTGGCTTCATTCAAGCAAAAAGCGTCTAAGTGGCTCTTCCGTAATTAGAAAAGTGACTTCTTGCTTCTTTCAAATTGATACAATTTTTTTATCCACTTCTTTTTCGTTAATAACCTTTTTACAAAGAGTTAAATCAGAAGAAGACAATTATATAGAGATTTTAAGTGTCATTTTTGTATTTTTTAGCTTAAGCATCACTGACTGTCTGTCGTGGAAATGAGATCAACAATGTATTTGGTTAGAAAAAGATTGTTATAGTTCCACTTTACGTATCGCGTTATATAAATTTGAAGCGAATCTGATCATTAATTAAGTAAACTAATTTCACATAAAAGATCCCTTTATGCACGGTAGATCTTTAATAAACGTTTCCTCGTCATTTCTTCGATGTAATTATGCTCGTCGTTTGATCAATCAACGGTACATCTTGTTCATTATCTAACAAAAACATCTTATTGGTCAGTGTGCTAACCAATGTACACTTAATTTCGCATTTATATTTTAAGAAAGTTTCCTTCATTCTCATCTCCATTGTCGGTAACTTATTCTTTTTTTCACTTATTATAACAGTCGATCAATCATTTGTTACGACGATTTCACCCGCATGCATTAAACATTTATATGCAATTTGACTGTCCCACATAAGAATAACCCGAACACTCGCTCACTGTTTTCTTCTAACTGGTTCAACATAAATTAGTACCGTTGCAACCATTTCGCGTATATTTAATAGCAATTAACGAATTACTGGTATTTGTAGAGTTCGATGAACATTCCACTTATTTAACTACACTTATATCAGAGCACCGATTCTCTCGACATTTCTGGGCCATTAAGTCTGACGTAAAAGTTTTACGTGGCCATTTACATGATGACAATATCTTTCACAATTACTATGATTTATTACGATTCAAAGGATTTAGTAGTTAATGATATCACTCAAATGGACATTATACTACGAAAGATTAACCGTCTATGAAAGTACTGCGGCAACTTGTTCTTGCCTGGTCAACTTCCCTCGACCCTTCCTGTTTTCTCGCGTACCTAATGACCTCGTTCTTTTGTGAAGCGTGAAACAAAGGTTGGTCGAAACAGGTAGCCATGTCAGGCAACCTTCGTTGTTGAACACCAGCAGTAGTTTGTGTCAAGTGTGTTTTCGAAATTTGAAAAGAAATTGAGAGGCAAAGGTCGAGGGAAGCTGCCACCCTATATTATCACTCAGGATAAAATACTGGTTTGTTCGATGAATAAAAGTCTGTGTTCACTCGTTAAATCTTATGTACACACAATCTACTGCTCGAACGAGTACTTTATCAAGTGTGTTAAAAAATTTTAAAGAAGTACGTAAAATGTAAAAAAGCAATTTATTTGGTTCTAATGATCTGAAAGTCAAGTATTTTGAAATAAGTTAGTATTTTGAGTTAGTCTTTTATATTAATCTAAATTTGTTATTATTTCCGGTGTGTCCCTTCACGATAGATTTTTTTACCCACGTCATCTGATTAAGAAAAGAAACTAATCTTTTCATCGATTAACATACATATGTGTGTGCTCGAGTATGTATTGAATTCTGCCCAAAACATTTGTTCGTTGCCTGATCTTCAGCCACAAATTCAGTTTTATTCATTCATATTCCTCTGAGTGCTCATATTTTCTGGTTGAATACATTCCCGTTCTGTACCGTAAGCTTGACAGCTTTCAAACATAGTGGAATTTCAAAAGCTCTCATCGTTTAACTTCTCTATGACGAACCACACTGAAATCCTATGAAAGTCGAGGGTCGTAAACGTATGATACCTATTTTGATCGTCGATGTCAATAAACTTTGATATCCGCTTTCATTCCATCGATCACAAATATGCTTTGCATTGAATGGACACGAGAAGATGATTGGTAGATAATAGTTTCACTTTAATTGTTAAAGATCTTCAATTTTGTAAATTTCGAAAATCCTTTATTTTCACCACATCATTTGACACTCCCTCTCGAAATCTTCAAAACTTGCACATGTGATCCTATGTAGTTTTCATATAATAACGAAATTGAAAAACAAGCATCGCAAACGTTTCATAAAGTACAATGGAACTTGGAATTTCCTCGCGAATCTGTCAAGATTACTTAACGTTAAAACTTTGGCAGGCCGGAAGTTCAACAACGTTCGTGGGATTCCACAAGGGTTGCGAGATCCAGAGACGCTCGTAGGATACCAGCACGGTAACTCCCGGCGGATCCATAGTTCAGGCAACGGTGGCGTTACGAACGGACGCAGGACGGCAGGGATGTTTCATCGACTCGTACATCACGGCAAGTATAATCAGAAGGATAGCGTACACACTTGTATCAAAGAAGACAGAGCAAGGTTCAGCATAACACGACACAACACAGTACAGCACCACACGACACGACACGTCACGTCATGTCAAGAGTGCTGTTACTACACTACACTACACCACACATTTCGTAGTACGAGCAGAGGCGACGCGATGGCGCGATCAACGCACATCCCCGGCCGAGGGATTTGCGTGCGCGAATACTAGCGTTCGCTCGAATACTGGGAAGCGTCGGAGAGAAAACAGGGTTAGTGGGCAGGTGGCCGGTCTGGCAGGGATGCGTTCTGCACTACCCCTTCCAATACTGACCCCGCTACTTCCACCAACGCTTCTCCCCTGCCTCCGCAACCATCATCGGGCATCGTTACTGCCGGCGACCACCCTTCCTATCACTAATACTGTCATCTTTGCCTTTATATCTGTAATCGTATTATTGTGGTACTCGATAGCATTCAGTGTTACTTCTCTTATAATGCTGCTGATGTACAGTGGGGGATAAAAGTATTCGTACTCCCCACTTCGACTTGAGTTCTTTTGTGAAGTTAGGAACATTAGTTTACTAAATGATGTGTAAACAAAATTTTGAAAAGTTGCAATTGGTCCGAACCGCAAAGAAAATAGTAAAGGTTGCTTTTTACAACTTTTTTATTTGAGACTGTAATGATAATTTAATAAATACACATCGAAGATTTATGTTAGTTATATACGTGTTGAAAAGTTCATGAAGAGCGATTAACGTTGCTACGAGATACAAACGATTAAAAATGTTGAAAATCACAGTTTTTCGCGACTTTCAACCTACAACTGTGGTAAATCTAACAATTCTTACATCTTTTGATGCCTGTCGCTCGTTTCTGTATCAAGCGATTTGAATGAAAGTTTCAGTATATACATGTGTAACTAAGATAAATGTTCGATAAGTATTTATTACATTTTCATTATAGCCTCAGATTAAAAAGTTCTAAAAAGCGACTTTTACTATTTTATTCGCGATTCCGACAAATTGCAACTTTTTCAATTTTGTTTACACATCATTTAGTAAATTAATGTTCCTAACTTCGCAAAAAAACTCAAGTCATTTGAACCAATTTTAAAAAAGTTGTTTCCATTACAAATACTTTTGTCCCCTACTTTATTTGACGTTTGACAGACGCATACAGTTAATCTCGAAACGTTTTCATAATTCTGATCGAAAACGTTGGTAAGCAACATAAGTTTAAGTTAATATTTTTTATTCGGCGTTATACATCACATAAGGCCACAAATCTGCGTTCTAATGACAAGTACAAAAAGTAATAATAATACGAATAATACTTCTAAATCATTCATTGGAATTGCATGTACGAAGACTCTAAAAGTATTCGAATTGCAGCAGACTCCCCCTTATCCGGTCTCTGCTCTACCTGTCACACTTTCGTCAAGAGGGTCAGACTGAGTTTTCAAAATTTGCTAAGTCCCTTGTATAATTGTTAAGTCGCTAAATATACTTTGTAACATATTCAACACTGTTTAAATGGTTATTAGTTTTATTTTTTATTTATTTTAACTGTATAAATGATATTTGTCATACATTTTCGGATTACCCGGCCGTTCAATATCCAGCCGGTGCACAGTGGTACAGAACGCCGATTTAGGAGACCAGAAGCTTAATTTTGGTGTAAAAATGGGAATTTCAAAACTAAACTTATATAACAAAACTAATGAGTAATGTTCGTTCATAATAATTTTTTTATAAACAAAATGAAAATATATTTTTTCTCAAGACGGAGTTATCATTGTCAATCACAAGTTCTCTTATATCATTCTAAAAAATTAATAAACTTCTTTCAAAATTTTTCTCCTGCCCAACGAAATTGAGGATATAAAACAATCAAAGAATGCAAGTAATGTATGGAACAAATCAGACATTGTTTCAGTTCAGAACAAATTTGTTATAAATTAAAAATTCGCAATTATGTTGAAAAATTGCAGAAATGAGATTTAGCGGTAAATAACTATTGATGCCGCTATTGCCCGACTTGATTTCTGATTTACTTGTTACTTTAACTCTAATTAATTTAATTGCGATTAATTCCAAGTATGCCATTTTACGCCTAAACTAAAATATTTATTTTTTAAGTTCTATCAGTCTAGC